ATTTTATTCTGTGCTTGACTCTTTCATTTGTCGACTGAGTTCAGGTTAATGCTCCCGTGTACATCATTCTGTAGTTGTTATGTGTTCTTGCTGGTTCTCATTGAGCTTCACTTTTAATGCTGGTGTGTGGTGATGTTTCATAGTTGTTTTGATTTGCGTCTCTGTCACGGCTAATGTCATGGTTGCCCGAATGGCTACCTTGGTGAAGTGTCTGTTCATTGCCTGTGGCCATTTTTTTTGTTGGGTTATTTGTCTTCTTATAGATGTGTTGTTGTTAAGTGCCGTTGAGTCAGTTCCGACCCATAGCGACCCTGTGTAGAGTTTCTGAGGAGCTGCTGGTGAGCTTGAACCACCAACCTTGTGGTTCAAAGCAACTTTGGAGTCCAGTGCATTAACTTACAACATCACACTAGTACATCAGAGGTGGTGGTGGTGTTAAGTTCCATCGAGTTGATTTTAACCCACTGAGAGCCTGTGTAGGGTTTCCATGGAGCAGCTGATGAGCTTGAACCACCCATCTTGCAGTTCAAACTGACTTTGCAGTCCAGCACATAAACCCACTTGTGGTTTCCTACATTTTGGAGATTAGTCCCTTGTCTGATATGTTGTTGCTAGGTTGTCCCCTGTCTGTGGTCTTCCTTTTTACTCTTTTGGTGAAATCTTTTGATGCACATAAGTTTCTAATTTTTAGTATGTCCCAATTACCTATTTTGTTTTTTATTGCTTGTATGTTTTTTGCAATGTTTGATTTGATGTATGCCATGTATTAGAGTCCTTAAGTTTGTCCCTATTGTTTCATTGATGATCCTTATAGTTCTGGGATTTACACTTAGGTCTTTAATCCATGTTGACTTCATTTTTTGTAGATAATGATAGGGATGTTGTTTCATTCTTCTGCAAATCAGTTTCCAATTTTGACAGCACCATTTGTTGGAGACACCATCTCTTCCCCATTAAATGGGTTTTGGCTCTCTGGGTTCCCTGTTCTTGATTCACTCTTATCCCTCTTGTTTTTACTGTGTGCTTTCTGCCTGTATCTCTTCAAAACCTCAACTATGCCTGCACTAATGTCTTTCCATTGTTTCTGTTTGTGGCAGGTAAATACCTGGGTTTTGCCCCCCTTCCCTTACTTGTTTAAAGGAGCCCTGGTGGAGCAATACTTAAGTGCTCAGCTGCAAATGGAAAGGCCAGTGATTCAAATTCACTAGCTGCTCCACAGAAAAAGAGAGAACATCTTCCTAAAAGATTTATAGCCTTGGAAACCCTGTGGGGAAGTTGTATTCTGCCCTATACAGTTGCTGTTGGTCAGAAGCTACTTGACTGCATTGAGTTTATGTTTACTTATAAATATTTGTGTGTGTGTGTGTGTGCCTGCCTTCCATGATGTGGCCATCCATCATTTCCTTCTACGTCAAGGAGTTTGTGATTGCTCCACCCTGCCTTTGGGGGGGCATTACTAATGACAGGATGTGGTTTTCCTGATGGGGAGCCAGACGGTATGTGCATAATTCCAGGGCTGTAGGTGGGTTTGTCACACAAGGGGGTGCCCTGTGTCACCATTCTTAGCTCCACATGAAACCTCAGCCACACTTGAGGAACTTGTGTCCCTGATGCGTTTATGAGACAGGATTCTAGTTTGGGGTACTTTGTTCTGGATTCTGTGTGCTTTGGGCCAATACTCTCCTTCTGGCTGTGCTTTCTACTTTATTTCTAGCAGGGAAGTTTTTTATCTTATTTTGATGTATTATTATTTATAAAAATGACATTTTAAAATCCCTTCTGTTTGGAGTGAAAGGAAAGGTGTGTACATTTTCTTTCTTCGCCGTCTTCTTTGTTGTTATTGGGCGTCCTCGAGTTGGTTCTGACTCATAGTGACGTTACGCACAGCAGAAACTTTCCGACCCCTCCTGGTCCTGTGCTAGCCTCACGTTTGCTATGTTTGAGCCCATTCCTGCTGACGCTGTGCCAGTCCATCTTGTTGGCAGTCTTCCTCTTTGTTGCTGACCCTCCTTCCACTTTATTCAGCCTGATGTCCTTCTCCAAGGACTAGTCCTTCCTGATACTATTCTGGCTCGGCTTCTTACGGCACAGATTTATTTGTTCTCTGGTAGTCCATGGTACTTTCAATAGTCTTCTCTAACATCATCATTTCAGTTGCATCAAGTCTTCTGTGGTCTTCCTTATTCATGGTCCAGCTTTCCCATACGTTATGAAGTTACTGAAAATACCGTGGCTTAGTACAGGCATACCTTAGTCCTCAAACTGACATCTTTTCAGGCTTAGTTTTCAATAACTTTCATAACTCTCTTGCATTTGCAGCTTTCCCTGCCTCCTCCAGCTTTTCTGGGGCCGTGGCCAGGTACTCCGGAGCCTGGTCTAGCTCCTTTTCAACCAGCTGGATGTGACGGTTCAAGGAAACCAACTCAGCTTCAGCCTGTCTTGGGTCCACCTTTCTCTTCTCACTTCCCGCTGGAAGCGTTCGGCCCTCTCCTTGGCATTATCAACCTGCTCTGCCGAACCTGGGTCTTGTCCTTCACGTCCTGAATGATGGTGCGTCTGGCCATGGTGCCCTCCCAGTTTTTGCTCACACTCCAGTTCCTGCCTCTTTGGCTCTGCATAGCAACCACTTCTCCTGTGTGTGTGTGTGTGTGTTTAAAACTTTATGTTTTGAAATGAGTAAAGGTTTGCACGGCAGATGATCAGTTTTGCATTCAGTAAATCATATACTTCATTTCATTACAATGATTGCAATATCCTCCATGCACCATCAGCTGACTGTATTTACCTGTATTCATTTTAACTAGAAGAGAGAAAAGGAGCTGGCTCAGCCTTGGGTCTCAGAATCTGGGTCAAGCATCCCTTTCCCGGGTCTGTAAACTCTCTGATCAGGGGGTGGTGGGTGTTTTGTACTCCATCGTGGATGAAAAGAATCAAGCTCAGAAAGCTTCCTACTGCAGGACCTCTCTCAGAGGCTCAACTCAGGACCAAGGTTGGGAAGTATGATGACACCAGACTACAGAGCCTGCATACAGGAGTGCTGTGCAGGCTGAAGAGCCCCTTCTCTGTCCTGACCTCGGAGACGGGATTTATCACAGGAGCCCTGGGGTGCAGGGGATTAAGGTCGGTGTGTCAGTCTCAGAACTCATACAGGGTTGCTATGAGTCAGGATTGACTTGGTGGCTGAGGGTTGGTTTTTAGTGGGTAGTGTGCTGTCCCCACGAGGCTCTGTGTCCGTGCCACACCGTTCCACACTTCCTATACTCACTGCTTCTGAGTGGAGTTAATACGCAACCCTGGTGGCACAGTGGGTCATGCATTCGGTTGCTAACCACAAGGCTCTTGGTTCAGACCAACCAGCCGCTCTGTAAAGATTTGCAGCCTTACAAACCCTATGTAGCACTTGTACTCTGTCGTTTGGGGTCACTGTTAGACAGTCACAGTCAACTTGATGGCAGTGAGCCTTGTTTTGATTTGGCACTTTACAGTGATGAAGCTCGAGGTTCATAGGCACCCCCTAACCAGAGGATGATTGGGCAGCTTGGTTCCTGGGACATGGGTGCAGTTGTCAGACTTCTGACTACTCATTGGCCCCACAATGGTCCCTGGGTGCTCCCAGACTGTGAGGGTGCCTTAAATAGGAGCTGACCTCTCTCTGGATGAGAGGATGTGCGGAGGGTAATACTGTGGGACAAAGTGCCCGTACAGGACATCTAATCTGTTTGGGGGGCTGGCAGAGGTTTCAGGTGTGTACAGTGAGAAGGATGAGCCGGGGCTTATTGCCATTTCACATCCTTGATCTTTGCTTATAGACTGCTTGGCTTGCAGATGCTTCTGTACCTCAGCCCAAACTCTCGAAAACCGAAAAAAATAGTGGCACTTGCCCCAGAGAGTGTTGTTCACAGGTGGCTGGCATCGCCTATCACGTTACCTCCTGGGTCCCTTTCCTGCCAGGCATGGATCAGGAGGACTTCCTCTGCACCAGAACTACTGGGATGGTTTCTGTGCCTTCTTAGTGCGTGTCTGATGTGATTCTTAAGAGGTTCTGCAGTGGGGACGCGCTCTGAGTGTCTGCAGTGCTGCTCACTGTCCACTGTCGTAGGAGAGGTGCAGGTGATTGTATCTGCCTTCAGTAACCTGATTTCCACTCTGGTTTTCTCAGGACATTCACTTGGATAGAAAAGGGGGGACGACGATGCACCATGGCGGCGGCCCCCCGAGCGCCCAGCTGCAGCGGTCCCGCTCTCTCACCGGCGGCAGTGAGGGCGAGGAACAGCAGCCCCACTCGAGTCTGCCCCAGTCCCCCGCCACGGCCTTCGCCCCGTCTGCACCCCAGTCACCCGGGTACCAGATCCAGCAGCTGACCAGCAGGAGCCCGGTGAGCGGGCAGAACGTGAACATCACCCTGCAGAACGTAGGGCCCGTCGTGGGAGGCAGCCAGCAGATCACTCTGGCGCCCCTGCCGCTGCCCAGTCCCACCTCGCCTGGCTTCCAGTTCAGCGCTCAGCAGAGGCGGTTTGAGCACGGCTCTCCATCTTACATCCAGGTTACCTCCCCACTGTCCCAGCAGGTGCAGACCCAGAGCCCCACCCAGCCCAACCCCGCGCCAGGCCAGCCCCTGCCGAGCGTGCGGGCTGGTGCCTCGGGCCCCACGAGTGGCTTTGTGGACGCCAGCGTGCTGGTGCGGCAGATCAGTCTGAGCCCGTCCAGTGGGGGGCACTTTGTGTTTCAGGATGGGGCCAGCCTCAGCCAGCTGGCTCAGGGCACGCAGGTGCAGCTGCAGCACGCCGGGCCACCCATGGCCGTGCGGGAACGGAGACTGTCGCAGCCTCACGCGCAGTCCGGGGGCACCATCCACCACCTGGGACCCCAGAGCCCGGCGGCCGGGGGCACAAGTATGCAGCCCCTGGCCAGCCCTGGGCACCTGGCCACGGCCAGCCTGCCGCCCCAGCTCAGCAGCCTGATCCAGGGCCAGCTGATGCAGCAGCAGCAGGTGCTCCAGGGCCAGCAGCTGAGCCGGCCCCTGGGCTTCGAGAGGACGCCCAGTGTGCTCCTGCCAGGCGTGGGCGGGTCCTCGGCCTTCGGCATGACCTCCCCGCCCCCGCCCACCAGCCCCTCCAGGACCTCGGGGCCGCCGGGTCTGTCCAGCCTTCCGCTCACGGCTGCGGTCGGCCAGGGGCTGAGGAAAGCCCCCAAGAAGCTGGAGGAGATCCCCCCAGCCTCTCCAGAAATGGCCCAGATGAGGAAGCAGTGCCTGGACTTCCACCACAAGGAGATGGACGCGCTCAAGGAGACCTTCAAGGAGTACTTGATTGAACTGTTTTTCCTGCAACACCTCCAGGGGAATATGATGGACTTCTTAGCGTTTAAGAAGAAGCATTATGCCCCCTTGCAAGCATACCTGAGACAGAATGATCTGGACCTGGAGGAGGAGGAAGAGGAAGAGGAGGAAGAAGAAAAATCAGAAGTCATCAACGATGAGGTATGTGACCAGTAGTTTAGTCATCTAGGGGCTCATGCTCAGCAAAATAGAGTCTGAGAAACTAACTGAAAGTCATTTGCATTCAAGTAGACTGTGTCCACTATTTTGGTTTCCTAAGGATTCGATCCATGAGCCAAAGGAGAGAATGCGTTTTACTCCGTTTACCTTCACGGAAAGGCCCATCTCTCTCAGGAGAGCGGTGTGTTGGAAGGAAGATGAGTGATGGTGCTTACACTCAGAATACTGTCCTCAGAGACTCATCTAGGCACAGAGAACCAGGCTGATGGCACCCAGGCTTTGCCCTCTAGTCTTGGTGGATAGATATTGGCCGAGACTCTGCTAGTGAGCTTAGAACCAGAGATGGAAATTCAGCAGCTGGGACTCTGGACATCAGATTGAGTGTGAGTGTGGTTTTGCTAGTGTTCAAACACGCTGTAGATAAGTCTTCCCAGAAAAACCTTGTCAACACTACTTTTAAACAAGAAGTTAAATCTGCAGCTTTTTGCAACATGTGAGCTGTAGTCACAAATCTACTAAATCTATTTATGTAGTCCCGTCATGAATAAAGGCACCCTGGTGGCACAGTGGGTTAAGTAGGTTCAAGCCCACCAGGTGCTCTGGGGGCAAAAGATGAGGCTGTCTGCTCTTGTAAAGGTGTCTAGTCTCGGACACCCTGTGGGGCAGTTCTCTGTCCTGTAGGGTTGCTGTGAGTTAGAATGGATTCAGTGGCAGTGGGTAATTGTGTAACTTAACTCTGGCATTTAAACCCCTGACGGTGTGAGAATGTTGTCAATTTCAGACGTGAGCGTGAGCTTTGTCATCAGATATTAACCCTCACGCTCTTGGGAACACCTGCCAGGGAGTCCTTTTCTAGGACAGCGAGGGTGGGCACAGGTGGGCAGTCCATGGTCGTGTCATCTAGTGCACACACTGCTGTGGACGGTGCAGTGAGGATAGTCCAACTCTCCATCAGCTCTTATCCTGCAAAGAAAACAGCCTTTGGTGAACAAAAGCTAGTCTCTTTGCCTCAGGAGTCCTCATGATATTTATGGACGTATCTGTTTGGCTTTGCCATGTGTGTCTCCCTTAACGCCATTCCAGAAAAGACTGGATATTTTTCAAAAGATGTACCTGATGATTTTGAGGGTTCCACCTGTATTGCCACAGACATTGTACTCAATCCTCTTTATGTTTGTACCAGTGACACCAGTGTTGTCTGTATGCTCAGTCCCTCTTATCTGTGCTGAAAACCAACCAACCAACCAACCCTTTTTGAGAACTTCCTGGTTGAGACAGATCTTTGCTACTGTAACCCTACGCCCTGTAGGAGCAGCTTGGCTGCTGTTTGGATGGCCTGCGTACATGTGGGCGCTTCTGGTACAGGAAGCCTGTCTGCCGTTCCAGCATGAACATGTGCCACAAGAAACATCTGAGGGGACCGTAAATGCGACTCACTGGTGCTTCCGTGAGGGCGAACACTGAGTGAGGTGCCCCGTGCTGACCTGTGTGCCCTCAACGTCCTTTTACAGGACCCCAGGCAAAAGCGTTCTGTGTTTAAACACCAAACGTCCATGAGCTGTCAGCATTGAAAGTCTTAACAGCATTCTGAGCAGTCCTAAAAATCATGTTGCCTTTTTTTCTCAAAACATTTCCTCTCAGGTCAAGGTTGTGACAGGAAAGGATGGGCAGACTGGGACTCCCGTTGCTATTGCAACCCAGCTTCCGCCAAAGGTTTCTGCTGCCTTTTCTTCCCAGCAGCAACCACTGCAGGTACTTTTCGATGGTTCTCAAATGTAGTCTCATCCCAAACTTTTCCTTCATCCAGATATTTTAACCTTCAATATACTATTTGCTCTTCAACATTTTTCCCCCAGAGCCCATTCCTTATTTTTTTAAAAAAAAACTTCCTGCATATAAAATTATAAAGTGCATGAGTAAATGACAACACAGACCCTAATGCATTATTTTTTCGTGTTGACCTTACCGCAGTAGTAGCTTTGCGCATGCATGCCCCCTGCCCCTGCAAGCCCTGTTGAATGTGCGCGCAGCTCCTCGTGCTCTGTGCTTTACGCGTTGTCCCTCCTGTGTCTCTTCCCTGTGTTTTCAAGAACAGTGCAAAACAGAACAAGACAAACAGACGTAAGCAGATGACAGCTTGGCGCTTCTGTAGCTAGAGACGCTGAAGTGAAACACGCTTCCAAAGCCATCGGGGTCCTAGGCTCTCAGTGAATGCTAACCAAGTGCAGACTGGGTTATTGTCAGTGTTCTGAAGACCTCTAGTGTCTCCTTAATCATGCCAAAAGTGAAAACTTCAATCAGATCCGAGTCATTTTGGGATAGCTTTTAGTGAATTCTGAAAGCAATTTCATCTTAGTTGTGACATGTCTTATTTTATATTTTGACATGATTTCAAACCTACATAAAAAAAAAATTGCAAGAATAGTACAGAAGGACAGATTCACCAAATGTTAGCTTTTTGACCCTTTGCATTATTCTTATTCATTCTTTGTCTCTCTGTTATACTTCCTCCATGAATGTATGTCTGTGCATACAGGGAGGGGACTTCAAAAAAAAGTAAACAGAAAAATTGCCTGATCTTTTCAAATAGCTGTTTGAGAATAAGTGCAGACAGCGTATTTTGTGCCCCTTTATCCCTAAATACTTCAGCACATATTACGTAAGGGTTATCTTGCCTAAACATAGTACAGCAGTCAGAATTAAGGAATTTTACAATGATACACAACTCTTATGGAACCTGCAAGGAACTGGGTGAGACTGTAGCTTACACGTTGAGCAACTATAACTGCAGGGTCAGTGGTTCAAGCCCCCAGCTTCTCCTCAGGAGAACGATGAGGCTGTCTGCTTCTGTAAAGATGTACAGTTTTGGGACCTGTAGTGAGCAGTTTAGCTTGGTCCTATAGGGTCTCTCTGCATCAGAATTGGCTTAGTAGCCCTGGATTCTGTAAGCCACACCACGCCTGCGTGTCCTGATGGTGTCCTCTAGAGTTAGTTCCCCAGCCCAAGACCCCACGTGCTGTTGTCATGCATCTAGAGTCTGGGATGTGCACCACTTCCGCATTCTCGCCTGGTTTTGCTGATGTTCAAGGGTACAGACTGGTTATGTAGTAGCATGTCCTTAGATGGTTCTTGTGTTTTTGAGAGGACTGCTCAGAGCATCGTAGCAGGAGGCCATGGTGCCATGAGGTTAGCGGTGCCGGGCAGGCATTTCCCCCAGGCTTTTTAGTAGCTTCTCCTTGTGTCTCAGTAATTTTGGAGAGGTCCTTTGACTTTGTGTGCTGATCCTCAGGAAACTTTCCCGTCAGCTGATGAGTCCTTCCTGGATCAGTTATTACCTTAAAGGTGACAACGTGTTTTCTGTGTCCTTAGTCCTCGTGTGCTTATTAATTGTCCTTCAGCTGTGACAAAAAGCTTCTTGGTTCCTCCACTTACACATTCACTTGTGTGTAGATCCCGATTTAATACATTATTACCAATATTACTTGGGAGTGAGATGGTTCTGTAGGATAAACACCTGGACTGCTAACCACAACGTCAGCAGTTTGAGCCCACCAGCAGCTCTATGGGAGAAAGCTGAGGCTTTCCGCTCCTGCAAAGATTTACAGTCTCAGAAATCCTACACAGGCTCACTATGAGTCAGAACCAACTTGTAGGCACTTAACAATAACAACAACCAATATTTAATTTTATTTTGTTCATGTTCAGTCAAATTCATTCTTTTTGGTCTACAGTTATGGTTGTGAGTTTTGACAGTTGCATATAGTTGTGTAGTTATCAACTTAGACAAGAAACACAATAGTCCCGTTACCTTCCACTGTGATGTTGAAATGGTCTGTAATTTGACCAGTTGGTGTTGTTTCAGGCTGACTCCAGTGTACTTCTGACATGTCCCTGTCTCATTATGTGTACTTCTGACTTTTAGGCATAAAGGGTTTGTCTTGTGTATTCCTTTCTCCAGCCTTGGAATGTGCCATTTCTCCAAGAAGGATGGTGTGTTGTTGTTGTT